TCTCCGCCACGCCCTGCGGCGGAGTCTCTTCGTTGTAGCGTGTTGCCTCAGCAACGGCAGGCTGCGTCAGCAGTGGGCGTGTATCTCAGTTGGGGCGGGTTGCCTCGGCAACGGCTGGCTGCCTCAGCAGTGGGCGTGTATATCAGTTGGGGCAGGTTGCCTCCGTAGTGGTGGACGCCCCTCCCCCACAGAGCGTCTCGGACCGTCTGCCCGGGATAGTTTGAAATCGCGGTTTTGTTCGTCCCACTGGGTATCCCAAACGATCTGTCCCTGCAATCCCCTGGGCTGGGCTACTGTGCAAGTCTCATTCAGTCTCAAGTCCAGCCCTCTCAAGTCTCAGGTTGCCGGTTCAACAAGGCACCCGGACAAGCGCGCCCTGTGGGGATTGCTGGGTAGGGCCGGCCGCCGCCGCCCGGGCTGCCGGCTTCGCCAGGCAGACCTACTGCCTGGCGTCCCGTGTCTTTTTATACTTGGGAGTTTCCCCGTTCTGTGGGCAATAAAGATCAGTCTGGAAATGCAGCACTGACTCACCGTTTGCGGATTCAACACGGGCTCCAATCCTGGGTTGTTCTCCTGTTATATAATTTTAATCATAAAGGAAAAAGTGCATTAGTCACAAAAAGAAACCACATTTATTTCTGGCATTAAATTCTAAAACAGATTTTTCATTTGGGCCCTTACATAGAATAATACGTAGTGACGGTGTAGCAGTATTCTTAATGACAGTTTTATAACAAATGCAGAAGCAATTTTTTTTTTTTGAGCCAGTCTCACTCTGTCGCCCAGGCTGGAGTTCAGTGGTAACGATCTCAGCTCACTGCATCCTCCACCTCCCAGGTTCAAGCAATTCTCCCGCCTCAGCCTCTTGATTAGCTGGGACCACAGGCATGCACCACCATGCCCAGCTAAGTTTTGTGGTTTTTTTTTTTTTTTGTTAGTAGAGATGGCCATGTTGGCCAGGCTGGTCTCAAACTCCTGACCTTGTGATCCGCCCACCTCAGCCTCCCAAAGTGCTGGGATTACAGGTGTGAGCTACCATACCTGGCCGCAGAAGCAATTTTTATGACTTTTTATGTCTGAAACTTTTTATACATTTATAGTTCATCAAGTACTCTATGTAGTACTTTAAAAGCTGGTTTGTCAATGTTTAAATATTCTTGGACTTTTAAAATGAGAAACGGTTATTAGCAATCAATTTTTTCTTTGGCTGTAGGAAATTGGAAGCATTTCTTCTCCAAATTGGCCCAAATTATAACATTATAGAGCAAAAGCTATTTAGAATGGCAACAATAGAAAGTTGTACTTAGGCTGGGCATGGTGGCTCATGTAATCCCTGTAATCCCAGCACTTTGGGAGGCTGAGGCAGGAGGATTGCTTGACCTCAGAGGTTTGAGAGCAGCCTGGGCAACATAGCAAGACCTTGTCTCTATTAAAAATAAAAAAATTAGTTGCGTGTAGTAGCACACACCTGTAGTCTGAGCTACCTGGGGGTGGGGTTAGGGAGCTGAGGCAGGAGGATTGCTTGAGCCCAAGATCCAGGCTGCAGTGAACTGTGATTGTGGCACTGTACTCCAGCTTGGGCAACAGAGCAAGACCCTGTTTCAAAAAATAAATAATAAAGAAAGAAATAAAACAGAAAATTGTACTCAATACTCATAAAAGATTATTTGCCTTTGATTGCAGGCTGAGACTAAATCTATGACACTGTATAAGAATATACCTAAATTTAAAGCAGTCTTCAACATATGTAAAGAAGCTCAATTACTTCCATAATAAAATAAATGCAAAATAAAACTATGCTGAAGCACCTTGTTTTTTCATTGTTGAAGATCAAAAAGGCTTGATAATTTATCGTCTTGTTGAGGATGTTTGGAAACAGGTCCCCTCATATAAACTGATGCGAATATAAATTGGTAAAACTCCAGTGGAGGGCAATTTGGTAATAGCTATCTAACTACAGATTCATGGATTTTTAACTCTTTGATCAGGTAATTCCCTTCCAATAAATTATGTTATCAAGATCATCAATGACCACCACATTGTTAAATCCAGTGGTCTGTTTTTGGGGTCGCTTTGACCCGTTGTCAACATTTAACTACTCAGTCCTTCTTGAGGAACTTTCTTCACTTGGTTGCGAGGACCCTATACTCTCCTGGCTTTACTCCTCCCTCCCTGGCCTTCTTTATCTCTCCACATCTAAATGTTGGGGTCCCCCAGAACTCAGTGCTTGAACACCTTTTCTATCTATACTTATTTCCTTGGTTTCTATCTAGTCTTGTGGCTCTAAATATCATCTCTACGCTCTTGGCTCCCACATTTATATTTCAAACTGAACCTCTCCTAACTCTCACATACTCTCTGGTTAGAGCCACAGTAGTCTCTCATCTGGTTTCCTTACATCTACCATTTTATCCTTCAATTTCTTCTTTTTTATTTTCTAATAATAGCTTTATCGAGATATTATTCACATTCCATATACTTCTCTACTGCCAACACCTTTTGTTTCATTTTGTTCACCCATTTAAAGTATCCAATTCTAATCCCTTTGTAGTTCATAAGCATAATAATAACTGGCTGTTCATGCTCATGCATGAGCTCTGCCTCCCTCAAGCCTTGTTATGACATCATCACATTACCTGTCTGATATGAACTTAGAAAAATAAAAGTAAAATAAAGTGTGTAATTCAGTGACTTTTAGTATACTCACAGAATTGTGTAGCCACTCCATAATCAACTTTATAAATATTATAATTATCCCCAAAATTGAAATCCCATGTATATTAGCAGTCATTCTCCTTTTCCTCTCAACCATTATGCCAACTCTTCCACCTTGAACCCCCAAGCTTAAGCAGCCATTTATCTCCTTTTTTTCTCTATAGATTTGCCAACTCTGGAATCATAGAATATGTGGTGACTGGCTTCTTTCATTTAATGTAATGTTGTTAAGGTTTAGTCATATTGTGGTATATATCAATACTTAATTTCCTTATTGCCAAATAATATTTCATTGTCAAAGCAGGAACAAGAGAGAGAGAGCAGGGAGGGAGTTGGGGTAGGTGCCACACACTTTAAAATGACCAGTTCTTACAAGCACTTAGTCACTATCATGAAGACAGCACCAAGCCATGAGGGATCCACCTCCATTATCTAAACACCTCCTACCAGGCCTCACCTCCAATGTTGGGAATTATAATTCAACGTGAGATTTGGATGGGAATAAATATCCAAACTATGTCACCTGCTTCCTCACTTCCCTCAGGTCTTTACTCAAATCATCTCAGCAAGGCCTTCCTGGTGAAATATGTTCCTGCATTTCACCACCCTCAACCCTTAACAGAGTCTGTCTGCCTTCCTGCATTATTTTTCTCCATGGGACATATTACTAGCATATTTATCTCATTTATTGTCTTTCTTTCCTCACTAGAATGTAAGCTCTATACGGGTAGACGTTTTTGTCTATTTTGTTTAATGCTCTATTCCCAAACCTAGAAAACTACCTGATGGTCAATAAGCACTCAGTATCTATTTTTTTTATTTGTTTGTTTTTGGGAGACAGAATCTTGCTCTGTGACCTAGGCAACTATCTTGGCTCACTGCAACCTCCACCTCCTGGGTTCAAGCAGTTCTCATGCCTCAGCCTCCTTGAACTACAGGTGTGTACCACTGCACCCAGCTAATTTTTGTATTTTAGTAGAGACAGGATTTGACTATGTTGCCCAGGCTGGTTTGGAACTCCTAAGCTGAGGCAGTCTACCCGCCTCAGACTCCCAAAGTGCTAGGATTACAGGAATGAGCCACCACGCCCAGCCTCTCAGTATCTATTTTGAATGAATGAATAACATTGCCTCTGGAGAGGAAACTAGGAGGCTAGGCAATAAGGTTGAAATGTTTTGCTATACAGTTTCATACCTTCTAAATTTTGAATAATATAAATAGATTACCTATTTAAATAAATAGAATTAAAATTAGTAATTGTGAACAGAGTTATCATTACATAGAACCTAGGGAGAAAAATAGATTTTGTGAGTGTGATTGTGGACTTCAAGGTAGTACAATATATTTAGCAAGAACCTGAAACTAAAGGGGATCTATAACTTAATTCCTTCTAGGTTCTTGTAAGGGCTTCTCAAAATAGAAGGTAGAGTTTTTGGCATAAGTAGTTTAAGAGTGACAAAATGTGTTTTTTTACTCATTTTAAGGTTTGATAACATTATTATAATTTAATGCAGTCCTATAAATAATGCCAAGAATACACTTTTATTGTAGCTGGGGAGGAAAAAAGAGTTTTTGCTTGCCTGTTCACCTGGATTTCCAAGTCATTCTATTTTTAGAGATGTTACGGAGTGCCTCTAAAATGATGACAACCATTTATTTCAAAAACCCAATCAATGGGCTGGGCGCGGTGGCTCATGCCTATAATCTCAGCACTTTGGGAGGCCAATGCGGGTGGTTCATGAAGTCAGGATATCAAGACTATCCTGGCCAACAAGGTGAAAACCCATCTCTACCAAAAATATACAAATTAGCTGGGCATGGTGGCATTGCTTGTAATACCAGCTACTTGGGATGCTGAAGCAGGAGAATTGCTTGAAACTGGGAAGCGGAGGTTGCAGTGAGCTGAGATCATGCCACTGCACTCCAGTCTGGCAACAGAGTGAGACTCCATCTAAAAAGAACAACAACAACAAAAAAACCCAGTCAAACAGCCCTCGTATACTCCAGTTTTTAAAAATATGTAAGGATAAAGCCAGGGTTCAAATTAGCAAAAAATACAACTTAGATACTCCCTGAGTAGCTGCTTTCTGACTCCCTCCTGTATGGTCCATAGCCATATACTGTGCTGTCGTTCACATCTAGGGTTTTACATGAGAGAATAGCACAGTGCTCAAGTGTAGTAGGGGAACAGAACTTAGATATCCCCCACCCAGATACTTTGAGGGTAAGAAAATGTAAATCTGTAGATAATAAGAATTTTTCCTTTTTATTCTCTCCTGATACAGGGTTAAGGAAATGATTCCTCCAAGGCCTCCTCTTACCCGTCGGACAGGAGGAGCTCAGAAGGCAAGTGCCAGAGCCAAGATAAAATGATAAGTAATAAAATATTAAGTGCATGCACTTCATAATTACATGGGCTCTTTAATATGTCTTCCAGAAGGGGTGAACACTTGTTTGAAGCTTTACATATTTTCATTGCTGGTTCTATTTGTGATCAATGACATAGAGCATACAACGTTTTTTCTCTGGCTGGTGGTGTCTCAGTTGGGAAAAAAGGGCATTTTACATTCAAAGTATACTGGGTGGTGGCACGCACCTGTAGTCTCAGCTCCTAGGGAGGTTGAGGCAGGAGGGTCGCTTGAGGCCAGGAGTTCAAGGGGGAAGTAAGCTATGATCACACCACTGCACTCCAGCCCGGGCAACAGAGTGGGACCTTTTCTCTAAAACAAACAAACAAACAAACAAACAAACAAACAAACAAGCAAAGTAGTATTGAACATAAACCAAATCCCAGTTTTAGACTTCCAATCCATGGTCTTGACCTCTTTGAGGCCTCTACCAGATGTTTTGTATTTTCTTAGGCAGTGAGTGACTACCACATACAGATCAAGAATATTTCTAGAGCCATTCTAGATGAATACTACAGAATGTTTGGAAAACAGGTGGCCACACTGGAGAGTGATATGGATAGTGAAACGTTGGAGGAGCAGAAGTGCCAGCTGAGCTATGAACTTAATTGCTCTGGAAAATACTTTGCTTTTAAAGAACAACTCAAGGTAAATCATTCACTTGTTTAATTATTCCACAGGTTTTTATGGAGCACCTTCTCCACATACCCAGTTAACATTTTCTCCTCTGATTATGTTCAGCTATACTCCCACCTTTCTCAGTTGGGGCAAAGAGCTAATTCCTCTATGATAGAGTGTCAGGAGAAGCTCAATTCCTGCAGTCTTGGAATAACTTATTACATATATTCTGAATGGAAGCTTTTAAGAAACTAATTATTCACTTGAGGCTGGGCCAGATTTTGGACCAGATTTCATTGTCACTATAGGAAGCAGAAACTCTGGTACTGACTCCATAATTAATTCTCCTTGCCTCCCATTCAAACCTCTCTCTAAAAAAAATTATTTTTAGACTTGAATTTGAAGATGAAACAGTTATCAGGAAGGAGGCCTTAATTATTAGGACTAGAATAGCATGTCTTGAGTTAGGATACATTAAACTACTGGCATTACATTTCACTTTTTAAAATTCAGAATGTATAAACAAAAACAAAAAACTCCATTCCCAGGCATCAGAGAAATAAAAATTTAGAAAAAGCAACTCCATATCTCTTCATAAGCTATAGAATCACTAAGGTTTGAGAAATAGTTAATTTAATAATCATTTCTTGAATAATAATGGCTAACATTTACTACGTTTGCTGTTTGCCAGGCAAATTTGCCAATGTTTCATCTTTTACTAATGTAATCCTTATAACAGTCCTATAAAGTAGGTGCTCCTCATTTTATAGATGGGATAATACAATATTAGTTGACTAAGGAATTTGTCCAAAGTTGCAGAGATAGTAAAGATCAGTGTTGAGATTTAAATTCAGGCAGTTAGCTCTAGAACTCACATTCTTAACTGCTACACTACACTGCCTTTGTACACACATTTACTATGTGTCCTGTACTGTAAACAGATATAAAGAAAGAACATGGAAGTCATAGATCATAAAAACAACATAGAACATAGAGCAAAAAAACAACAAATGTTCCTGGAAGCAAGAGGGTGTTCTCAGCAGGTGATGTAGTCATGTCTCAGTTTGAGTCTTGGTTCTACATTTACTAGTTGGGTGACCTTGAAACATGATTTTACCTCTCTGTGCCTCAGTTTCTTTACCTAACAACAGGGATGAGGTTAATATTACCACACAGGGTCATTATGAGAATTAAATAATACAATGTAAAACTGGCAATAATGTTACCCTAGTGGGAGAAAAAGAAGATGCTGTCTTGGCCATAGCAACACACTATGTTTATATTTGTGTAGCATTTTAAACTTCTGTACTTGCTATTTCTCTTTGGCTTCTTAATCATCTTCTGAAGTAAAATAATACCAGAACTACATATCCTCTTAACAAATGAGGAAGCTGAGGTACCAAAGTATAAAGTGATTTATGAGGTTGTACACTGGCAGCCTTAGAACCAGAATTTCATTCTCTGGACTCTCAGCCCAGGACTTTCTTTCTCCCTTTGCACTTTGAACCATATGGCCACCATGAGAGACATAATGCCTAAACCTAATGCTCAGATTTTCTTCAGCTTTATGATTCTCTTCATATAGTATGAGCTCTGCGTTGCTTCAGTTAGTGATGGTGATGCCAAGGAAAGAAGAAATCATACAGAGTATGTGGACTGGATACTCCTGTAGTATCAATTGGAGAGCCTATAGTCAACCAGCCACGAAAGGAGAAACCAATCACCTTCTGAAATTTTGATCAGCCTTAGACCAGAAAGCCCTAGAGAGACCTGTGCTGTCAGCATGGTGCTGGACTGTGTTATCAGATGGGTGATCTGTGTGTTTTGCAGCATGCTGTGGTAAAGATTGTGAGAGAGAAATACTTAAAGACAACATCATTTGAAAGCCAGGAGGAACTGCAGACATTTATCAGTGAGCTCTACGTGTTCTTAGTAGATCAGATGCACGTAGCCCTAAACCAGGTAGGTATCAAGAACTGAGAGCACTTTCTTTTCTCTGTAGAGCATCAAGGTCTATGAATGATTCTTTCCTTTGGTTAATTTGTTGAATTTGGTTATTCAACAAATATTTATTGAAGTGTCTGCTCTGTGCTAGGCACTGAAAACACAAAGATGAGTAAGAAACTGCCTAAGCCTAATTAGTTTAAGACTAACTTTGGAAAGAACAAGGAGATATGCTTTTTCAATTTCCTAGAAAAATAAATTTCACAACTTTAAAAAATGTAATGGAATTGTCAAAAATAGATAAAATAGGCCAGGCGCGGTGGCTCAAGCTTGTAATCCCAGCACTTTGGGAGGCCAAGGTGGGTGGATCACGAGGTCAAGAGATCGAGACCATCCTGGCCAATATGGTGAAACTCTGTCTCTACTAAAAATACAAAAAAATTAGCTGGGTGATGGTGTGTGCCTGTAGTCCCAGCTACCTGGAAGGCTGAGGCAGGAGAATTGCTTGAACCCGGGAGGCGGAGGTTGCAGTTAGCCGAGATTGCGCCACTGCACTCCAGCCTGGCACCTGGCGACAGAGCAAGACTCTGTCTCAAAAAAAAAAAATAGATAAAATAGGTTGTGTAAATTGTGAAATGAAAATTATCATTCTATTCTGTGAACAGGTACAATTCTCCATTTTTTATTGAAGATCGTAAAAGCAGAAAAAATTATGAGTTTTCAGATATTATACCCAAATGGCAGTGACACTTCAAACACACCTTTTCTGTTTGACTGGTGGTCTGCTGTCCTACCCACTTTTCTGTTTATATTAATAAATCTTGCATCTTGCCTTCATTTGCTTATTTTTATACATATTCAGAGGTTTATTTGAAACTAGTGGCAAAGTCAAAGTCTTTTTGTCCCTCAGTAGTGTCTAACCATCTGTGCCTCCTCAAATTATCTGTTTTATTTGCTTTTTCCTTCCTTGTTTTTCTTCTCTACCATCATTACCTTTTGTTTTACTTTGTTTTGTCTTCCTGGGGGAGGTAGGACAGGAGTGTCCAGCATCAAAGTATTAAGAGAACAGTCCTGCCTTGGGCATGGATGATTTGATTTGAAAAGCATTGAGAGTGGAACATGAGAAAAATTTTTCCTCGATAGTGGTTGGGAGCAATACATTGAATTATTTTACATTGAGGTATTATATGATCAGGTTTACATTTGCTAAAACACTCTGATAGCACTATGGAGGATGAGTTAGAGGTGACAAAATTGGTGATGTTGTTAGTTGATGATTACATAAGAAGGGGAAAAAGTTTAAGTTAAGTTTACGGTTCAATGGGTAATTGATACCATTCAGTACTTCTTGGTTGATACTGAAAAGAAAAGAGAAACATTAACCAGGACATAGAATGCAGTATCAGTAAATTTAGTGGGAGGCAGATGGTGCTGAATTCGCTTTTGAACATTGGCTCTAGTGGGGTTTTGCTTAAGATAGAGATCTGAGCTAGAAATGAGATTTGGGGAGCCATGATATATGGATGCTATGGTAACAGATGAGGCTGCCTATGAAAAACATAAGAGAGAATGGAACTGGCAATAGAACCCTAGGAAATACCAACATTTAAGGAATGAATGAAAAATTGAAAGAGACTAAGGGCAAAAGATTAAAGAGGCAAAGAGCCAGAAGACAGTGGTGCCACAGAAGACAAAGGAAAAGAATTTTAAGGAAAAGTGGTCAACATTGTCAAATACTCCTAGGAATTCAAGAAAAACAAATCTGAAGTCTTCACTGGATTTCACAATAAGGAAGTTATTGTTAACTTACATAGCAATATTATTGGGCTAATAGGGGAATTCAAATTATGATGAATTGAAGAGTAAATGAGCAATCAAGAAACAGATGAATATAAATTCAAGTTGGATGATGAAGAAAAAAAGTAGAAAAGTAGTAGCTAGAAATTATAGGGATTTTCTTCCATCCCTCCCTTCCTTCCTTCTTCCCTCCCTCCTTCCCTCCTTCTTTCCTTCCCTCCTTTCTCTCTTTCTCTCTCTGTCTCTCTTTCTCTTTCTTTCTTTTCTCTCTGTCACCCAGGCTGAGTGTGGTATTGCGATCATGGCTGACTGTAGCCTCAACTTCCCAGGCTCAAGCAGTCTTCCCGCCTCAGCCTCGCAAGTAGCTGGGACTACAGGCACACACCACACCTAGCTAATTTTTTGTATTTTTTGTAGAGATGAGGTTTCACTATGTTGCCCAGGCTGGTCTTGAACTCCTGGGCTCAAGTGATCCACCAGCCATGGCCTTCCAAAGTGCTGAGATTATAGGCATAAGCCACCGCTTCTGGCCTGGGATTTTCTTTTCAAGATGAAAAAGACTTGAGCATATCTACAGTTTTGGGAAAAAGTCAGCAGAGTGGGAGAAGCTGAAAATTGAGGAAAGAGTGGGTATAATTGATAGGCCCATCAATTATACAACTGGGAAAAGACCAAAAATTTAAATAGAAGGATTAACTTTGAAACAGAGAAGGATACAATACTTCTTTCTCTGAGACTGAAAGGAAAGTGATACAATAGATCCAGAAATAAATAATTTAGCTAGAGAGTTTAATAGTTGAGGAATTTCTTTCTTCTTTTTTTTTCCCCCAAGATGGAGTTTCACTCTTGTCATCCAGGCAGGAGTACAGTGGTATGATCTTGTCTCACTGCAACCTTCACCTCCCAGTTCTCCTGCCTCAACCTCCTGAGTAGCTGGTATTACAGGTGCCCACCACCACATCAAGCTAATTTTTGTATTTTTGGTAGAGACAGGGTTTCACCATGTTGGCCGGGATGGTCCTGAAATCCTGACCTCAGGTGATCCGCCTGCGTCAGCCTCCAAAAGTACTGGGATTGCAGGCGTGAGCCACCATGCCTGACCAGTTGAGGGATTTCTTACTTAGCGATTTCTATTATCTCTGTGAAGTAAGGTCTTTACTGAAAGTGAAGGGGATGAGGAGTGAATGAAAAGCTTGAAGAAAGAGAGGAAAACTTAGATATTGCATGGCATTATGGAATATACTGCTAAACAAAGACAAATACATAGATTACTAAGGGTATTAAAGGTCTCCAGCTAAGACTGAATGCCACAAGAGTGTGCGGCAGTTTAGATACCAGTCTTTGTATCTGCAATTTTCCTTAGGACGAGTTAGCTGCTCTTGTCTTAGAATGAAGAAGTCAGATTGTACTACTGTTTTAATTTGAGAATTTTCAGGACAAGTGCAGGAGAAGGGCAAGCATGCCTTGGATGAGAGTATGCTGGTGAAAGAGTAGCCTGAGTGGGTAATCATGAGTTTCAGGCTGATCCATTTGGGAAGTGATGGGCTTATTGGAACTGAAGGAAATAAAGTCAGAGAGCAGTTTACAGTGGGCTAAGTGACAAAAAGCTGGAAGACATGGAATGTTGGTTCTGGGAGTGGGATATTAGAGTATTCTGTTTTGGAATACTCTAATGTATTCCAAAATACAGTCCTTGAAGATTGTTGCTGCAATCCTTGAAGTGTGTTGCTTCAAGGATTTCGGGGACAAGATAATCAAAACTAAAAAGAACAGGACAAAAGCATTAATCAATGATCAGAGATTCTCTTTGGCCTATCTCAAATGTGGCTTTACTGTCCACCTTTGTTAGCAATTGCACTTTGGGAGGCCAACGTAGTCAGACCATGAGGTCAGGAAATCAAGACCATCCTGACCAACATTAATTTTTTAAATATAAAAATTAGCTGGGCATGGTGGCGGGTGCCTGTAATCCCAACTACTCAGTAGGCTGAGGCAGGAGAATCGCTTGAAACCAGAAGGTAGAGGTTTCAGTGACCTGAGATCCTGCCACTGCACTCCAGCCTGAGCAACAAGAGTGAAACTCTGTCTCAAAAAAAAAAAGTCATTGATACTATTTTGACTTCTAATTAAAGAATTTTTGTGGACTCTCTCTTAACCATAGCTTTTGACTCAGGAGATTCCTAATTACACCAGACCTGCTCTCACAATCTGTGTTTACAGGATATATTCTTTTTCTGATTTTCCCCCTACCTTTATGTCTCCTTTGCTGGATCTATCAGTCTATATTTTCTACTAAAACTATGGATTTGGCTTCTAAAGCTTTACTCTGTCTCCTGTTTTCTTCACATTTAAAGACTCTAACAAGGGCTTGCCCATCTTTTTCATGTCATGACACACAAGAAAATGACAGTATTTGTCATATACACTAGAGAAAGAGAAAAACGAAGGAAGCTGTTTGAGGTCAGAGGTGACCTGCATAGGGACTCTGAGTGCCTTGAGGGTTTTCTGCCCTAAGCAATTTTTACTTACTTCCATGAGCTCAGACTGTTGGTATTCAGATACCTGAGCGTCTCTTTCTCCCTTGGCATTTCTCTTTTGGTTAACTCATATTCTCTTACTTTTTTGCCAAGACTGTCATTATAGATGTCAATCAATATCATTTTAGATGTCCTGACTGGATCTCACATTGGATTTATGCTTATGAAATCTCTTTACTTGTAATTGTTTCGTTTTTGTCTACCTAACATCTTGACATTGACAAGACCATGCCAGACAATGCCCAAGGTACTACTGCAACCATTTATACAAGCAGTGAACAGCTTCGACTCTTTGCATTTGAAGCAGAAGTCAATGAGAACTTTGAAATGGCAGCAGCATATTATAAAGAGGTAATTAAACATCTTCTCAGTGACTGTTAATATTATTTGTATAATATGGGCATAATAGTCATTTTTTGATTGTTTAAAATCCAACTTGATTGGTGAAGGGGTAGACACATAGAACAATAAAATAGAGTCCAAAAATAGGCTTGCACAAATAAGGTCATTCAATTTTTGACAAATGTAAAAGAAATTCAATGGAGAAAGGATAGTCCTTTCAGTAAATAGTGTTAGAACAATTATGGAAAATAAATAAACCTCAACCTTAAACATTTTACAAAAATCAACTCTAAATGGATCATATGTCTAAATGTAAAACATAAAACTATAACACTTTTAGAAGAAACATAGGACAGAATCTTGACCTGGAATCAGATAGAGTTCTTAGACATGACACCGAATCATGATCAAAGAAAAATGCGATAAATGGAATTTCATCAAAGTTAAAAACTTTTGCTCTATGGAGGTCATAAGAGAAAGAAAAGGATTCATAAATCTGTGACATATAAAAAAAGAAAGAAAAGAAAAAGGAAAGATTAGGAGAAAATATTTGTAAAACATATATATGACAAAGGATTTGTATCCAGAATACAAAGCACTCTCAAAACAAAAAAAATTTATACATAAACATTCATTATGAGTACCTATTTTTAATTATTTTGGCTACATACTTACAAATGAAATTGCTGGGACATATGGTAATTCTGTGTTTAACTTTTTGAGAATTTTGAGGCATTTCACTGGGATTTTGATAGGGATCGTCTAGTATCTGTAGCTTGCTTTGGATAGTATTAGCATCTTAACAATATTAAGCCTTCCAATCCATGAATATGGAATGTCTTTCCATTTATTTGTCTTTTTAAATTTCTTTAAGCAGTTTTTATAGTTTTTACTCATCATGAATTACATTTTTCAGATTTGTAGATAGATAAATATTTGCCATCTCAAGATTATTGCAGAAATTATTATATATGGTTGATATACAATACAATGAATCTTTAGGCTCCCAAGGTATTAGATGAGTTTAGAGTGACCAGAATACTGACACTAGGAACAAACAGCTTGATGATTCAAATTTTTAATTATATCAATACTTTTTTCAACCACCTACTAAAGGCCAGAACAGTAATTGCGCTAGGCATTTGAGATACAGTGATAAGCAAAAAAAGTCACAATCTCTGCTTTCATTTATAGTGTTTACCATGTGATATTGTATGCATGAAATATGACATAGTATCACAATAACCTTGGCTCTCCTTACGCTTAGAGATTGGTTCGTGAGCCCCAGAATCTGGATCACTGGTTGGACTATGGTGCCTTCTGCCTCTTAACTGAAGACAACATCAAAGCACAAGAGTGTTTTCGGAAAGCCCTTTCCCTCAACCAGAGTCATATCCACAGGTATAGGTGGAAGGGAGTTGAGGAATCAGTGGGAAGGAACAGATAAGATTCTACATGAAATTGTCTTGGTTCCATAAATGTGACATGCGGCCATGTTGTTTATCATGTTGGTGATCTTTTCTCAGCTTGTTGCTGTGTGGTGTCCTGGCTGTCCTGTTGGAGAACTATGAGCAAGCAGAAATTTTCTTTGAGGATGCTACTTGCTTGGAACCAACTAATGTTGTAGCCTGGACTTTACTTGGTATGATATTTTCCTTTAATCTGAATGTGTTTTTTTCCCCATTATAAGATTCTCCCTTTTTCCTTTCTCTTCTTCAATAGTTCATCATGTAGTTCTTAAACATTGGTAGAAAAATGGGAAAAATAAGTGAAATGCAATTCTTTAGTATATGATAGTGGAAAAATAGTCATATTTATTTCAACATTTTTCTTTCCCCAGGTTTGTACTATGAAATTCAAAACAATGATATTCGAATGGAAATGGCGTTTCATGAGGCCTCCAAACAGCTTCAGGCACGAACGATTCAGACACAAGTAACAAAGCAAAAGAGCATTGGTACTGTAGAGGACATTGAAGAAGGAGGGAAGAGAGAATCTGGTTCGGGCCCTTGGGGAATCACAAATGGTTCTGCAACAGCAATCAAGGTGGAAGCCCCAGCAGGTAGGGCCAGGTGTGGTAGCTCACACCTGCAGTCCTAGCAACCTGGGAGGCTGAGATGGGAGGATCACTTGAGCCCAGGAGTTCAAGGTTGCAGTGAGCTGTGATCATGCCACTGCACTCCAGCCTGAGTGACAGACCAAGATCCCATCTCTAAAACAAAATTTAAAAAATAAAAAGTATTGGCCTTAAGAGGAGAAGCTGGTACATAATAGGCACTCAGTAAATTTTGTTAAATGAATGAATACATGGAGTTTGAGTTATGTCAGAGATACCAGGAAAAACTCAACTTCTAAATATTTCCTCATTCATATAATTAGTGGTCTGAAGCTTCTACTGCTGAGATGCAGTTGTTTTAATCTTAGATGATTTACTGTCTTTAAAAGGGGTACCATTCTATCAGAGTAAATTTCATTTCCCCCCCGCCACTTTTCTCTCCACCACATGAAGTCCCTCTCTTACGATTCTCAAATTAATTTATGTATGTACTCCCTTTCCCCCTCTGTTCTATGATTCTCTTTTCTACCACTTTAGGAAATCAGTCATTCTAATGTGTGGTATATGTTTTTGTTTGTGTGTTCCTTGCATGTGCATTATTATTTTGTTCGCCTACACTTCTTAACAGTTTGATGTGTAATTGACATGTCAAAAACTTTGTACATATTTTATATGTACAATTTGATAAATTTTGACATAAGTACACAATCATGAAAAATCACCACAAGCAACATAATGAACATATTCATTGTCCCTAAAACTTTCCTTATGACCAGTTGTGGGCATCTCTTTCTCCTGCTCCCATTTCCAGACAACCACTGATCTGCTTTCTGTCATGATAGATAAGTTTGCATTTTCTAGAATTTTTGAATTCTAGAAAACACCTGGAATTTTCTAGAATTTCCAGAATTAAATAGAATCACACACCGTGTACTCTTTTTATATCTAACATTTTCAATAAGCATAATTACTTAGAGATCTAAACATGTTGCTTATATCAATATTTCATACCTTTTTATTGCTAAGTAGTATTCCATTGTGTGTATATCCCACAAATAGTTCATCCATTCACCTGTTGATAGATATGAGTTGTTTTTAGTTTGGCACTATTAAAATAAAGCTACTATGGACATTCATTTATAAGTCTTTCTTTTTTTTTTTTTTGAGATGGAGTCTTCTCTGTCACCCTGGCTGGAGGGCAGTGGTGTGATCTTGGCTCACTGCTCCTCTGCCTCCTAGGTTCAAGCCATCCTCCTGCCACAGCCTCCTGAGTAGATGGGACTATAGATATGTGCCACCATGCCTGGCTAATTTTTGTATTTTTAGTACAGACAGGGTTTCATCATGTTGCCCAGGCTGGCCTCAAACTCCTGACCTCAGGTGATCTGCCTGCCTCAGCCTCCCAAAGTGCTGGGATTACAAGTGTGAGGCACCACGCCCAGCCTCTTGTTATTTTCATTACAGATTGTGTTAGTAGTCATTTACCCCATTCAATTTGCATTGAGGCCTAACTTAATCTTTTCAAAGAACCAGCTTTTGGTTTTGTTACTCTTCTCTGTATTTGTTCTTTAAATCATTGATTTATGCTTCTAAAGTTTAAGTATTTATTTTTTTGAGTTTGAAATGTTGATTTTTTTCAGTTTATGTTCATCCTCTTTATGTAATTATATCAACTTTTTTGGTTGTAAAATCAATGATCTTAGCCTGGATTTCATAGAAAATAGAGCCTGAGTCAAGAATTTAATGGTAATACTTTAATTGGAAGAGTTAATTTCAGGAAAGACGAGTGAAGAAAAAACAGTAAGAGAGGCAACAAAGGATGTGAACCAATGTAAGGTGACACCTTCTGTCTACATTGGCCATTTCATGATGATAACCTGCAAAGAATGCAGCTGGTTGCTTTGCAGGTAAACTTGCTTAGTCTTGTGGGACATCTCCAAGCATTCAGGCCATGTAGGGAAACCATGACTCTGAATAATAAGAGAAGGAGGAAGGGAAGATAATCTGTTCTTTTGTCTCTTCTCTTCCATTGGCCAAAATTAATCACCTGTCGAGTTAATGTCACCCATACTTCCAAGTTTTATAGTCTGATCCTTTTGGCACCTGCTTGGGAAGTCATATGCCATACCCTACAGTGCAGCATTTTGTCCAATCCAGAAGTGGTAGGAAGAGCCAGGAACTCAGATTATGTGGTTGGTTTAACTAACTGCCCAACCAAGCAGTCAGGGAAGGCCTGGCTCTCTTTGGTGAAGAAATAAGTGTTTCCTAGGTAGTAGGACTCCATGAATCCAACTGCTGGCAGTCAGCCTTAGCAGCAGGACTGTGACTGGGACTCTCATAGAGAAGTAGTTGCCACAGTGCCTGATACAGAGCTTGCACCTGAGAGTCCAGAAGACTATGGCATTGACAGAACCTGGGTTAGATTAGACAGGTAAGACACATCAATATCAATGTTTATATTATTATTTCTGTAAACATATTATTCTCTGCTGAGCCACTTTCTGTATTTTTTTTGTTTTTTTATAGCTTCATTTTTCCAAGAACTAATAATTGCCTAATTTATTCAGAAAACTAGCTTACTATTCTGTGTTCCTTTTGCCCTTTTCCCCACATGTTTCAAAAGTATTGTCAAATGCCCATCAATATTTTTGATATGTTTAGCCAGGCATGGTGGCTCATGCCTGTAATCCCAGCACTTTGGGAGGCTGAGGTGGGTGGATCACCTGAAGTCAGGAGTTCGAGATCAGCCTGGCCAACATGGTAAAACCCTGTCTCTACAAAACATACAAAAACTAGCTGGGTATAGTAGTGGGCACCTGTAATCCCAGCTGCTCGGGAGGCTGAGGCAGAAGAATCGCTTGAACCTGGGAGGCAAAAGTTGCAGTGAGCTGAGATTGTGCCACTGCACTCCATACAACATGGGTGGCAGAGCAAGACTGTCGCAAAAAATTATCTATCTATCTATATAGACATATCTATCTATCTCTATATCTATCTATTAAGAGATATCTATTTATCTATCTCTAGATAGATATAGATCTGTATAGATAGAGATCTATCTATCTCTATAAAGATATAGAGATATATCTATAAATATAGATATAGAGTTAGATATATCTATTAAAATGCATCAATCCATTTTAATAGATAGATATATCTAGATAGTTCTATCTATCTCTATATCAATCTATATAGATATAGATATAGAGATAAATAGATATGTCTGTATCTATCTAGATATATAGATATATATATATCTCTCTATATCTAGATATCTATATATATCTCTATATCTCTCTATTAAAATGCATCAGTCCATTTCCCCCCCCCAAGAGATATTTCTCCCTCCAAAGCCTTCTATCTTCCTTCTTCAATTCTCAATGCTCACCCTCTAGGCCTAATGGGAAGCTCTTCTCCTGGGATGTTCCTTTGCTATGATTCTGAAAATCTCCTTTCACTTCAAGATGCATAATTTCTTGAATTCTGTGCCTTCCTCTTTCATAATTTGCTCCCTCATTTTGGTGGAGCACATCCTCCAGTATCTTCATAACAAAAGTAAGAGTAATAAATATACTAAGGCATTTCTGCATAAAATAACTTTATTTTACAATAGATATTAATAAATACTAATATAATAGAAAAAATATATATTTGCATGTATCACCTAGGAATGAGAATATTTTCCTACATAATTAAAGCATCTTTTTTCATACACATAAAAATACAGTCATGTACCACCTAACATTTCAGTCAAGGATGAATTACATATTTGACAGTCATCTGGTGATAATATAATACTATATTTTTACTGTACCTTTTCTGTGTTTAGATATACGAATACTATCATGTTGCAGTTGGTTCCAGTATTCAGTACAGTAACAGTCTGTACAGGTTTGTAGTGTAGAAGCAGTAGGCTCTGAAATTCCCATTTCATCACTTTTATTATAGTTTACTATTCTCTCATTAAATTCTTAATCTGACCTTTACTTCTTGATCACAGTGACTATAAAGTTTATGTCTCAAGCTCCTTTTTATTTTTATTTGTGTGTGTGTGTGTGTGTGTGTGTGTGTGTGTGTGTGTGTGTGTATTTATTTATTTATTTTGAATAGAGATGGGGTTTCACCATGTTGGTCAGGCTGGTCTTGAACTCCTAACCTTGTGATCCACCTGCCTCGACCTCTCAAAGTGCTGGGGTTACAGGCATGAGCCACCGTGCCTGGCCTTATTTATATTTTTAAATTTATATTTTCTCTCCTTTTTATTTGTTTTGGTTCATATTTATTTGTTTTTATTTGTTTTGATTCATATTGTCATGTATTTTTGTGTGTCTGGTTACTTTTAAATCATATATAGGACACTCTATTGGTAAACTAATTTAGTTTGAGGGATCAAGACGATTTGAAGATGACATAATTCTTGTGAATGCCTGTTTCAATTTTATTCTTACCCTTAGGTGTAGCTCTTTGGTATCTCAACTTGAATTCCTTTTGGTGGTCATTGTCTACCAGTGTCTGCCATATGTCTCCCGGAGAGTAAATCAAAAGTAAAGTTGAGCCTACCAGACTCTCAAGCTCACCCTTGAGACACATCCTACTCCAAGAAAATATACTTTCAAATGATGAGCTGAAACCCTGGGCTTCTGTATTTCCTAGTCTTGGGCTTAGAAAGTCGATCTGGTTAGCTCTCTGGTACATTCAAGCATGTTTTAAAAAAATATATTTTGTCCACCTTTCCTGGTTGCACTCAGTGGGAAACTGGTGTGAATGACCCAGTCAATAATGGCCAGAAGCAGAAGTCCTTCCCATCTACTTTTCTATCCTTAAGGTTTTTTGTTATTTCTTGTAGTTTATTTTTCCTCTTCCATTTTCTTCATCTTTATAGGTTTATACATTTTAAATTTCTTCTCATTTTAGTGAGATTTTCAAATTAAGAATAAGGAAATGTATACACATGGCCTATCTACTCTGTTTAACTGGAAGTCTCCACCTTCTTCATCTAGACTTAT